TACCTAGTTCCGACATCTTTCGGCGGTGATGGTAGCATCTCCAGGTAACTAAAAGGTCCGGTGTCCTCGAAACAGCCTACGTCCTCGTAACAAACTTTGGACACTTCTCTTTTCCCTCTGTGATGAAGCTTCTTGTGAAGCGTCCATTGTCGCATCGATTCGACGACCGCGCGAAAAATTTCCGCGTCGTTCTGTTCGTCCGCACTTTCGTCTACGGATGAGAACACTCGTCCCGTAACGGGATCCGCTGAAATATTATTATTACACAATGAGATGTAATGTAACCCGCAACGTTAGATAGATAAGCGCTGTAAAGTAAACTTAACTTTCATTATATCGTGATTATTTGAGATTGTGAATTACTTTTATTTATTTACACACACACACACACACACACACAGCATCGTGCGAATCGTGATTTAAATATATAATTCGGACGATGTTCTCTGATGTTTAAATTTTTAAGACTTATCGAAAGTCAACGATGAGTGTCAAAATGCGTTTCGTGAGAATTGTAACGGCCGTGCCGGTTCATTCATCTCGCGCGACCTCTATTGTTATTAGGATATCACGTGAATAACAGTTTCCTAGAAAACACGCCATGGCGTTTAATATAATATTTCACACCTGATAAATCTTTATGGACGGTCCGGTTTTAGGCTTCGCTGATTATCGGCAACCGGTGTTACCGATCTCAATAGAATTCATTAGCGGAATCTGAAATAAACTACGTCACTCCCTACGTATAATTACATAAGTGTCACATATGGGATTTTCAGTTTATTGCATAATGACACTTAGAAAGTCATGTTCTTTATGGTCACCAAATATAAAAAAAAAAAAATTTATAAATAAGGTACAAATTTGAAACCGAAAGATCCCTAACTATAGGGAAACTTTATGAAGCTTTATACTTTTAAACTGCTCTCCTCTAAAATTTGCGTTTTGGAGTTACGGGATTATACGTAGGGAGTGACGACTAGATAAACGGCAGAAAACATTGATGAACATTGATCCGATCTGAATAAATAAAAAGGACACAAAGTGATTTTCTTGTTTTTTTTTTTTTGCTAGGCGCGATTCTATGACACGTTTGTCGCGGATAATCGCTAAATACTAGCGTACGTCAACACCTGGACGTCTACGTATATAATTTGTAAAAACTTGTGAGAAAACTGGAACTGTGTCAACATGCAATTGCGAAAATGCGCCGATTGCGTTAACGCGCGCTGTATGGCGATACGATTCGTTGAGCATGTATTTGCTACTTTGTTGCGAGATAATAGGTCGATATATATTATTTTGCTTTTTTTTATTAACGCTTTACGTAACAGCTGAAGCGTTTTGTCGAACAAACAAGTCTCTTGTTGCTTTTTCCGCGGCAACGTTAGAACGTAAGCGAATTCTCTTTTCTGTCTAAAGTGTTTGTTGTACACTTGACACAGAGTAATTTCAAGAATTTGCATGTGCACACGTTAAATCAAATATCTACACAGTCCGATAATTGATAAGCTTATGTTTAACGGTAAAAATTATTATTGTTACCGTTATGCCAGTAACGTCGCGTTATCCTCGGATTTCTGAAACGCAACGCTTGCTTCGTTCAAAATAATTGCTCGATAGCGCAAAATAAACAGGCTTACGGTTTTTCTTGATATATATATA